ATGGTGCCAGATCTCAAACTATATTATAGAACAGCTGTAATATAGTTATTCATAAGAACAGCTGGTACTTGCACAAAAATAGACACATAGATCAATGGAACATCATTGAAGCCCCAAATATGAGTACATGCAATTTTAGCTACATGATATTTGAAAAAGGTGCCAAGAACACAAAATGGAGGAAAGACAGCAGCTTCAACAAATGGTTCTGGCAAAACTGGATCTCCACCTGTAGAAGAATGAAACTAGACCCTTATTTTTCACCTTGCACAAAAGTCAACTCGAAATGTATCAAAGACCTCAATGTGAAACTTGAAACTCTGAAACTGTTAAAAGAAACATTGGCAGTAACCTACAAGACATAGGTGTAGAAAAGAAGTTTCTAAATCAGACTTCAGTTGCCCAGGAATTAAGGTCAACAATCAACAAATGGGACCTCATTAAACTAAAAAGCTTCTGTACAGCAAAAGAAACAACCAAGAAAATGAACAGAAAATCAACAGAGTGGGAGAAAATCTTCACCAGTGACACATCTGACAGAGGTTTAACATACAGAATATATAAATAACTCAAAGAATCAAGAAAAATGACCCAATTAAAAGAAGAGCTAAAGCTCTAAACAGAGAGTTCTCAAAGGAGAAATAAAATGGCTAAGGAACATCTTGAAAAGTGTTCAACATCATTAGTATGCAAATTAAAACCGTCTTAAGAGTTCACCTTACCCCAGTGAGGCTAGCTAAGATCAAGAGACCAAATGATATCAAATGCTGGCAAGGATGTGGAGAAAGGGGAAAGCTCATTCACTGCTGGTGGGATTGCAAACTCGTGCAACCCCTATGGAAAGCAGTATGGAGAACTCTTAAAAAACTGAAAATAAACCTACCGTATGACCCAGTTATACCACTCTTTGGCATATACCCAAAGGACTCATCCTATTGCAGAGATACTTGTACAACCATGTTTGTTGCTGCTCTTTTCACAATAGCTAAGAGATGGAAGCAACCTAAGTGTCCCTCAACTGATGAGTAACTAATGAAAATGTGGTACATTTGCACAATGGAGTTCTACTTAGTGGTTAAAAAAAGAAAGAGGCTGGGCGTGGTGGCGCACGCCTTTAATCCCAGCACTCAGAAGGCAGAGGCAGGTGGATCTTTGTGAGTTCAAGGCCAGCCTGGTCTACATAGTGAGTTCCAGGACAGCTGGGGCTACAAGGAGGCCCTGTCTCAAAAAGACAAAAAAAAAAGAAAAAAGAAAAAAAAGTTGAAATCATGAAATTTGCAGGTAAATGGATAGAACTAGAAACTGTTCTCCCTCATTTGTGGATCCTAATACCAAATCCTTATACATGAGTGCATATCCTGATGTAACTGCAGGAACCAGGAAAATGGAAAAGAACCAGGGAGATAAAGGCAAAGAAGAAACCCGAGAGAGAAGAATGAACAGTAAGAGACAGGTGTTACTAAGGGAGAAATGTGTAAAATGGAGGTAGTTAAATGGGAGGGGGAGAGGGAGGGCTATACAAAGAACTATGAGGATAAAGGGGAAGAAGGATCTCAAGAGAGGTGGGACCAGAGGAGACAGAAATTATCAAGGGAGAAATGGGGAAAATGGGGGACACTTTAAATGGGGAAGGCGGAGAGGGAGGATAAGACAGGGAGAGAAGAGGAGAGATAGTGCCTAGCTAGTATAAAAAAAAAAACAGAATCATATTATGCCAAAAATCTACTGAAAAATTACACATACAATACTGTAGGAAACCAGGATGCCAGGCCTTAGGGTGAGGTGAGCCTAAAACTTATAGGTCCAGGCTACATTCTCTGCTAAAGGGAGGGGCACTGAAAACAGTGGCTCTGATAATCCCTGTCCTGCAGAACACTGTTAGACTGGCAGGAGAAAGCAGCCTGGTCATAAAAGTGCAGGCTCCCTTCTCTGTGAGAAAGCGTCTTGATCAACAACCCTAAGCTCATCTCCTTGTCCTAAACAGATAACCCAGCTATCCCGGCTAAGAGATTAGGCCAGGTTAAAGGTTTACTCCTGATCTAAAAGCTAAAAGTTCACCATGCTTTTAGCTGTAAGAAAGAAAACATTGTGGCCAATAAATTACTGGATGGGCATTAATAACCTTGAGTAAAAGTTTAAGAATCCTTCTGGTACCAACTAACAGACTAAATGTCCTGTTTCTTTGTACCCTAAATCTTTGTATGTGACTGCCATATCCCATGTGACTGCTAGTTCCTTGGGATGTATAACTAAATTCTAAAATAAATCGTCCTGTTGGGAAGACACAGGTCCTGAAGTTTATGACTGTTGCCGATCAGACCCTCTGCCCCGAAGCCAGCAGGTCCCCCACTAAGCAAAGCAAACCTGAGTCCTGACACAATACTTCTACATGAGTCCATTAGGATAGCTGAAGACTACATAACAAGAAACAGTATCAGACAAGAGAAACCTTCCCTTGAGTTGTTGGCCAGGGTAGTCCAAGAGACTCCCAAAATTACACAGGCTATTGCCAAGCCCTTGACTGCCTCCCAGAACTTGGAGTTAAGGCCCTATTACTGAAGATGGGACATATTTGGACACAGGATTTGGAGCAATGGATCTGGAACTGACCTAGAAGCCACCTCTCCTGAAGGCTAGCTCTCATTGCTTTGGAGAGCACTATTGCAAGCTGGTAAGGGAAACATCAATTGATGGTCCAACCGCAGCTTCAAGCCCTAAAAATCATATCAATGATCAGCACAGCAAACGACATTGGTGCAGTAGTGGCACTTTTATCTTGGGGGTAATCAACAGCTACCTATTAGGACGTAAAGCCCACTTAGTGAGGAAACTCATGTGGTAATATAAACCTATCCAAATACACATAGCTGGAGAGGTAATAGACCTTAGAGAAAACCCCAAGGCTCTCACATCCCTAGACAAATGTAATTTCTTACTATGTGCAAAATATGGATCCTTAAATTTACAGACAAGTATCCCAGTCACCACCCATCAAAAAGCTTATTTTTCAACAGATATTATTACAGAGTTCCACAAATAATCACACACAGAGATTGTCTGTGAATTGGCCAAGCCTAAGTGGCACATTTACAATTCAACCTTTACACCTAAAGCTCATGGAACATAGAACAAGGGATGAAGAGAACACTAATGCATCTTTCAGTTTTCATCCATGAAGCTCCCTCATGCAATGGAAACCAGGAACACAAAAGATCATGAATGATCAAAACAGAGAGTAAGTGTCTACAGAGTGTGGGTCCTTGGACAGGAATCCTATATTAAAATCCACCCACCCAGGCCTCAGGGACCATTTTGGAAGAGGTGTGGAAAGATCATAAGAGCCAGGGAGGAGATGCATGAACATACTGAAATAGAGTCCTACAGGCTCCTGGGACCCTTCTTATACAAACCTATACCAATGGTGTCAGCACGTACAAGACCCGTGCAAGCTTAAGCAGACAAAAACCCAGCACAGAACTGTGGAAATAAACAGCAGACCCCAATCTGATTACAACTGGGTGAGGAAGAGCTGATTACTCCTGGGTGAGGAAAAGCTGATTTTCTTAAAGGGAGGAACTCTAGATAGGGTGACTAGACATCAGTGGATGAACTTGTACTGAGGGATGTCTGGGGACACTAACTTGACATGATAGGCCTTAACACAAATGACAGATAGTCATGGGCTATAGGAGGGTGCCAGTGGGGAAGGGAGTATAAAGATGATTAAGATGTTTGTATGAGGGGCTGGAGAGATGGCTCAGCGGTTAAGAGCACTGACTGCTCTTGCAGAGGACCCGGGTTCAATTCCCAGCACCCACATGGTGGATACAAACCATACTTAACTCCAGTTCCAGGGGAATGAGAAGCCCTCTTCTGACCTCCGCGGCATTGCACGACATGGGTGCACTCACATACACGTAGGCAATACACTCATACACATAAAATAAAAATAATAAATTAAAAATATAC